CCTCTCACTTTAGTGGGAAAACACCGCCGCGAGAAGGCAGTGAGTAGGGCCTCCTCAGCAAAGGCTATTTGAGACGCTTGATCGTATGGGAGCATTTCGCTGGGTGCAAGGGTAGGGTGACCAGCCGCAACCCTAGACACCCGCCCCCGACCATACTGAGGCTTTTGGAGGCAGATAGATTTTATTGGGTATAAGCATATCGACGCATGTGTAAGCGTACCTGATAGAATCTTGACCAGGAAGGTCACTGATTGGAAAATAATCATCTGGAATCCATGTCAAACCCTAGCAAGTAACGCCGCATACAAAAACAGCATCCTCCCTTATCTGCCCCGCATTTTAGTGAATTGATCACCAGTTAGTTGTCTATTCATTATGTGCATTTTGAGAGCTTGACACTCAAAAAATAGCATTTGCTACCATGATACAGTGTACTTCAATTGTGTTGTTGATTTCTACTCATATGTTCGTACTCTACTCCATGTTTTATTTGGTTTTTAGGATGAATTTTTGCTTCGTAACTAAATGCAATGAATAGAGGGCTGATCACCACGCCCTATGTCTCTAGGGACTCAACGGACCAGTGTAAACAATCGCCCGCGAGAATACCACTTACTCTGGATCTAAAACCATGGCTTAACCACCATGTACTAGTATGGACTAATGGTAAGTGTTCAGCTATTGTCACAGCGCGAATTTCCAATCCAGGATTGTATCGACCGGGCATTATTGTCGCAGTGGATTCATCAAAATTTCGAGTTTTTGTTAAATTGCCGGGCAGCGATTCCTCGATCTCGATCGATTTATCCGCCTGCAATTCTATACCTACTGTCATAGACGACGCAATCCCGCATACAGGTCAACTAACTGAGTATGTGTTCCCAATTGAAACGGTTATGTTGCTGTTGTTTTAGAGGAACTCGAGTGTGCTACCGTATCTCCACCGATCAGGGGTTCGGTTATGTTCCAGGCAAACTCATTGTAAATACAACTCTCTCAACTCCGGGTCCGAGTCAACGGTTGTACCCGGTCCAACCGGATGGAATGACCTTGGACGCAATCAGTCATCATCCGCGTGTGAATCTCCGCCTACTTTTGGCACCATGGCAGGATGAGATTGATGAAGTAAGTGTGGGCTGCTCTTCAGATAAAAAAAACATTATCGACTTTGCCCTTTCGCTTTTGTTCTTGTTGTTGTTGAGCTTTTCTGTTGTCCAAGTCCGCTTCAACGAAAAACCAGCACACAAAAAAACTGGTTTGGTAGATGGTTTTAATTGAAGCAATTGTCAGCTGAGGAAATCGGGCAATCTGAATAACATCACTATCCATACTGTGAAATGCGTGGTTCGTGTGTGCGGCAAGACGTTCCCCGTGACCGAATAGACCAGACAACCGCAATTGGGCCGAATCTAGGTGTGAACTGGAACCGTCGACAGACAGGATGTTCTTCGTGGAGAAGGTTCGACTGATAATCTGAAGGAGAAGAAAATGCAGACACCATGAACCAAGTGGTCCAGTGAGACATGAACACGACTCACACTCAAACGGAATAGCACGTTGCCAAGGTTGTTACAATACTACTCGATTTCACAGTTAGTAACTCGATTTAAACCTCACCTGTTGGTTTCTTAGAGTCGAACTATTACACAAAATGATTAAGTTTCTCCATCAGAGCCGTTTTTTATTTCATGAGATTGGGCTTTTCATTTGCATTAGGTACTCATCCACCAGTTTTGCAGACGGGGACAGTGAATTAAATAGTTGGCCTGTTATTATGTACACAACACGTTTCTTCCAGCGAAGATTATGCCCCTGGACCGTGACACTGTATTTAATCTTTTGTATGGTACAATTTTGAAAACCCCAGAAGTTTCGTTTGGTTCAAACCCATATATGGACGCCGCCGACGATCTCTCAGCGTATCCCTTGCCAACCGACCTGCTAGGGCACGGATAACACTGGGATTTTTTCACGTTTAATTACCCACCGAACTTGAAGAAGCATATGAACACATCAGATAGCTTGTAAAACAACTACCACGGCAGGTTTTACCTAGAACTACTTGAGTCCACCAACTGAACTCCAGGGTCAAGTGGGCTGTTCATTTTTTTCAGGTTGCGCATTTAAGGACGTTTTTATGAATACGGATGCGTAGGCAACGTCCATGTGTGGGCTCGAATTCCCATCAGAGTTTCTAATTGTTTTTCACATAAAGATTTCTTCATATCGGCCGACCAATAAATCTAGAACAACTTAACTATTTGTTAAACAAAATCTAAGGTCATCTGTTGCGATCCCCGTGCGTATTCCGTGTTTTTGGTTTTGTTTTTCTAGCTGTCTCATATGAGTTCGAGCACAAACGTTCCAACTGACCCCGTCCAACCGTTTGGCCCTATTCCGGATCCTGGCCAGTCATTGCATTTCGGTTCATTTCGACCTTCCGATTCGTGTTCCACGAACAACGCACACATTTCCGGTGAGTTTTTCAACTGTACCGCCGGTCTTCAGTTACTCACACGCGGGAATTGAGTCATACGAAACAGACTAGAACTTTGTATGTGTGATATAGCTTAACTAGTTGTTTGACTGAATTCGTTCCTTTTGCAAAGTTTTGTGGGAATCAGTGCATGTAAATAGACATTCAAATTCATTTGGTTATTTTTTGTCTTGTTATTCAAGAATTCTGACCTTAGTTCAAAAAAGTAAGTCCTAGAGCAATAACGCCTCAGATTCACAGAAGATTTACCACGGTACGGAATGAAATCTCTCCGCATACTGTGTCATGCCTTCTCACAACGAAATTCCAGTGCAGTGCTCACAAAACAGGCATATTTTCCTAAATCAAATAGGTATCTGGGTTTAATTCGTACTAATCTGCACATTTTTTGTTTGGTACATATTTTTGTCTTCCATCTATCTACACAGTCCAGTCGACCGCGTTACCCGACCCAGTCCACAGAGTAGTCGACTTAAACACTCCCATGACAATTCACCAGCCAAATGTGGCCTGTTCCTCGTCTGTTCCGAACACTACGGAACGTCTCATTCAAGAGCCTCAAATTATCACTGAGGGTCAATCTGTAGGAAATCCGTCCACCGCAGAGCATCCAAACAGATCCGGGGCTGGCCAAATGACGGTGGAAGATGCACGCTTTCGTAGTCCCAATACGAGTCGACGATCATTCTTCCCAACCGCGACACCCTTATCCTCTGGCGGTCCTCCGGGGCGTGGACTACCAACCAAATATGGAATGAGTTCCAAATGGCTTGCTACCGGAACATCGTCTCCAACGGCCATATCATTGACTACATTAGGCAACTCACAACGCTTCAAGAAGGTAGGCTTTGAGATCGGATATTTTCTTTTGACGGCCGAGGCAAACGCTTCTCGACTTATCTCTGTGTATTACTTTCGCTGAAATGTGCCTAGATTCTCTATAAATTTGCCGTACTTTCCTATCAGTCGATTCGTGATTTGATGGTCTTTCTGAATTTCCGGAATCGCGAGTTGAAATTTTTGATTCTATGACAAGTGTCTTGCCTGCTGTTTGACCGTGACCGCTCCCCATGTTGCATATTCCGGTTCGTAAGATGAAAAACACATG